CACTGCCACACATGCATCATTGGCTCTCAAGGCACTCTGCGGGCTTCTCAGAAGGTTCCTTGCAGCAGGGGCGTGGGGCCCATGGCAGGCATGGCAGGTGGTGCAGCAGCAGGTGGCAGCACTGAAGGATGAGAGAGAGGGCCGTGGCAACTCTTCCCATGGAAATGCCGGGAGTGGGGGAGGGCGTGGGAGAGTGCGAGTGGTGGCAGAGGTGGTGGGGATACTGATGCCTGTGGTGCGGTGGGGCGGGCAGGTAGGGGGGCGAGCCGAGGCAGCAGGGGGAGGTGCAGCAGCGGGTGGGGAAGGAGGATGGAGAGGGGCGTTGGAGCAGCAGGTGGATGAGGAGGTGGTGTGGTGGGTGCAGCGAGCCAATGAGGCGCTGCCACTTGTCGCATGTGTGGAGCAGCAGAGTGCAGAGGCAAGAGGTGAGTGGTGGCCTGACGGTTAGTGCATCTCATGGTGCCTCACAACTGCCTCGCTATTGCCACATTGCCATGCACCACACCACACTGTGCCACATTGCCATGCACCACACCACACTGTGCCACATGCGCGCGTCCCTGACCACATGGGCATCAGCATTCACAATCCGTTCTGCTCCTCCCCTACTGCTATCCAAAGTCCAGCTATCTCCTTCTCCTTTTCCACCCCCTGCCCCTATCCATCCCCCTTCCCCCCAATCTGTGCAGACTCGCTCGCTCTCCACGCCCTCGCCTTGGCGCTCTTCCCCATGCCACCATCATCTGGTCCCTCTTCCACCCCTCTCCAAGCCCACTCCTCCGCCACCACCAGCAGCCCCTCCCAGCGCGCCGCCCTGCTCGCCCTGCTGCGCCTGCAGACCTCCCGCCACGCCACTGCTGCCGTCGCTGCCGCTGCCGCCGCCTCCCGCCTCGCCGCTGCCGCGTCTGCTGGGGATGCAGGCAGCGTGGGGCCCGGGGAGACGAGCAGTGCTCTGAGCAGCGTGGGTAAGATGAGGCATGCTGGGGGTGTGAGTGCGGACGTGGGAGGGGGGGACGAGTTGGATGATCTAGACGAGCTTGATGAATTGGATGAGCTGGATGAGGATGGCGGCGGTGATGCAGGTGGCAGTGATGACGTGCTATTTGACGAGCTTGATGAGCTGAATGAGGAGGAGGAGCAGCAGAGCGGTGGGAGGGATGGAAGGCCGGTGCAGGTGCAGAGCAGTGCCAGTGGTGCAACCAGTAACAGGGAGGCATTGCAGCAGCAGCAGGTGGGGGTCGAGGAAGCATGGGAGAGCACACAGGAGAGCAGGGAGGAGTGGGTGGCGCACGTGAATTGCTGCCTCCTCGCCCTCGCCAGCACAGCAGTGGCGTACAGCTGGCAGGAGATGGCGGAAGCTGACGTGGCGTTTGTGGGCGGCAGGCTGCGGCAGGCGCTGGCAGCAGCAGCCATGGCGTTTGAGGAGCTGGTGGAGGGTATGGGGGAGGGGGTGGGGGAGGAAGAGGATGGGAATAGGAGAAAATCAGGAAAGAGGCAAGCAGGGGAGGGGCAGGCAGGGGATGAGCAGGGAAGGGTGAGTGGCATGGCACGGCGGCTGGAGGCCATGCCATTGGACGTGGCAGGTGCTGCCCTCTCACTGCTCTCCATGCTGCTCGCCCTCCACTCCCACGCCTCTGCTGCCTCCGCTGCCACCAGCAGCATCTTCTCACTCTGGTCGTCAGCCGCTCCATCGGCGTCCCCCTCCTCGCTCTGGTCATCAGAGGCATGTGCAGCGGTGGTACGGCAGGGGTCAGAGCACGCCTTGCGCATCTTCATTGCTACAGGCCTAGCAGACGCGGCTGTCCCTCACAGCACCGTCGCCAGCAGTGCAGCCAGCAGCGTTCAGAGCAGCCAGCCCATGACAACCTGGCGCCTGCAGCATCCACTCTTCTTCCGCCAGCTGTCGCACGCAGTGCTTGCCGCTCCCCCTCGGGCGGTGGAAGCAGCGGTGCGGGCAGCGGAGATCTGGGGGGCGGGGCGAGGGCCAATTGCAGGGCTGTATGCGCTCATGTGCGGCCCGTCGCCAGGTGGCAGCGTGCGATTGGCTGCATTCTGGTGTCTTTCTAGGGAGCAGGTATTGCCTGCTGCTGTGGGGGCAGCGGTGGTGAGGGGCGGAGGAGACGGGGAGACACATGGAGAGCCAGTTGGTGATGGCGTCAGACCTGAGCTGGCTCACATTCTGCAGCCAGCCAATCGGAAGGAGTTGCTGACGTCAGCTCTGACGTCATCGCAGCGGGTGCGGTACTACCTGGCAGCTTGTCTTGTGCTGCACCGCATCCAATCCCTCCCCACCTCACCCCCATCCCCACCTCCCTCCACCGCAACCGCCTCTGCCGCATCGCCATCCTCCCCTCGTGACCGCCTCATCTCTTTCATCCTAGCCACTCCCACTCTCACTCTCCTCCTCGACCTCGTCTCTCAAAACCTCCTCCTCGCCCCCTCTCCCTCACACTCCTCCGCCTCTGCACGTCGCCTCATCCATCTCAACCCCTCAGGACCCCTCCCCCCTGCGGTAGCCCAAGCTGGGGACTTTGCCACACGTGCAGTTGCCCAGGCCTCGCCTCTGGACGTCGCACTGGAAGTTTTAACCCTGTCCGGGGCAGGCAAATTATCGGTGCCACGCATGCGCAGCCTGGCAGCAGCGGTGTTTGGGGCAGCGCTGCGAGTGGTGCCAGGGGGGGTGAGGCGGTGGTATGCGGATGTGAGGGAGATGGGAGTGCGGCGGGGCATGGACATCTTCACTGCCCGATACTGCAGCGCTCACATGATCTCCCTCGAACTCGCCCAGGTATGCATTCTCTCCCTCTCTCTCACCTCTCCTCTCTCATCTTCTCAAACCATGTTCATGAAATACCACGCTCCCAGCGACACTCCTTCCTTCGTACCTCTCCTGAATCTTCCCAGCCACGTCCCATTCTGCTGCCGCTTCCCTTCCTCCGTCAAACCCCCCCCCCCCTCCCCAACCAGGCGCAGAAGGCGGGCGGCAGCAAGGAGGACCTGACGGTGCGCACACGGCGGTCAGCACGCGAGGTGTGGGCGGTGTACTGCAAGGACGAGGCCAAGCTGGAGCTTGTCATCAAGCTGCCCGAAAGCTACCCGCTGCGAGGGGCAGCTGTCGAAAGTTCCAAAGGGGCAGGCGTGAAAGAGGCCGAGATGCGCAAGTGGCTGTTGGCTGCTAACTCGTTCCTGCTGCTGGGAGGGGGGTCGGTGGCAGATGCGGTGGTGCAGTGGTGCGACTGTGCAGAGAAGAAGTTTGAAGGGGTTGAGGATTGCCCCATCTGCTACAGTGTCATCCACTCGTCCAATGGCAGCCTGCCACGTCTGCAGTGCCGCACGTGCAAGCACAAGTTCCACCCCGAGTGTCTGTACCAGTGGTTCCAATCCTCCCACAAGTCCACCTGCCCGCTCTGCCAGACATCCTTCTAGCTTCAGCTGCTCGCCTGGCGTCATTGTGTTTGAGATTTCGGCCGGGAGTCAGCAGCAGGGGTCAGCAGCTTTGGGATGAGCCTTGCCTGCTTTTCTTTCTGGCTTCTTAGCCTCTAGACGCATACCCAGTCTCCCATCGAGCTTCTTGGTTAGATGGAGGTTCTCTTAAAATAAAAACGTTGTGCCGTGTTATATAGGCAAGAGGAGGTACTGCAACGAAGGCAGCAGGCAATGCTACATATTTACAGACACTTCCAGCATAGGCATGAGAATTGCCCCACTGGGCTCAGTGATGACAGCGTAACACAACTTCGGACTACAAAAACATCAGGTGGCCAGCTCGCTTCAAGAAGGCGAGAAGAGAATCTGGAATTGCTTCACCTTCTGAACGTAGTTGACCATCGCGACTTCGATGCTAAGGCCTGCGGGGGGGCGAACGAAATAGTCAGGACTGACTGGCATGGATGGAATGGCACATTCATGGACGTCAATCCATGCATGAATCCACTGAAGTTTCGCTCTTCAGGGGTCATGGACTCGATGCAATGCAATGCAAGCTGACCTGCGAAGTCGCGCCAAGCCTGAAGTTTCTCGCGGTCGTCAGTGTCCACGTCCTCTTCTGAACCTGCACAGCATTCCGTGTTAACGTCAGCTCTGTTTCTAACAGCACGATATCTGAATAGAAGACGACGGAATGAGCAGACAAAACTTCAAGTTGTGACTATTGTGAGTAAACACTGCCTACGAAGTTTAGAGACGTCTAAGCGACTGACAACCTAGAAGCGAGACCTTGGTCGCAAAATGCAAAAACGAACGAAAGCCGTACACGAAGTGATGCTTCCTGCAGTCGCCTGCTTGTACAGCCCATAGAGAACCAGCTGGTACGACGGTGCTAGTGCTGGACTCAGCTGCTTCGCCGCCTCAACAGACGCAAGGAAATCGGCCTGAATGGACGAACACACGTCAGTGAGAAGCCGCGTCACGCAGCAGGGACAAAAGGAGAACGAACGGAATCACGCTGCGATACATCATACGCTACCATGCGCTTTATGTACCTCAAGGCTCAGGTCGCATGCTGCCTCCGTGAATGGCTCGGCCCGACAGGCCAACGCATGCGGAACGGCAGGCGACTCCCACCGTTCGCGGACATATGCTGCCATAAGTCCAACCCTAGATAACGATGCTCCACAGCGTAGCCCTCAATCCTTACAGCATGAGTGAAATCGGCTGTCAAAACTCGCAAGCATTCCTGGAAACAACGTAACTACAACGGACATGCTAGAAGCAACGCATGCGATTTTGGCTGAAAGATAATTTTTGGGTGAGCTGGGCTTGCATGCGCGAAAACCTGTGTCGAATGGCGCGAAACCTCCTCTTATCAGGCTGGCTCACCTCGAAAGTGACGGAATGATGGCACAATCCTGAAACTTCTGCAGTGTACTTCGCTCGTGCTATTTGGCAAAAAAATCAATAAATGCAACTAGCAAATAGTAAACCACATAACTGCTCCAACATGGGATACCAGCGCTGTGTCCCTTTCCCCTAGCTTCCATACTCAGAAAGAGGAAACTCTCTTAGGCCCACTTCTCGAGGGAGACTACAGGGGCCTCACACATACGAGCACAGACATGCGCCAGCATATATGCGGCATTATTCAATGAGTGAAAACTTCACACGCCTCCCTGACATCCTCGGGTCTTGCAGCAATCCAGGAAACATGGGTGGTTTCGCACCATAGTCCAGAACAGAAGAGTAACTCACAACGCTACCAAGACTGCTGGTGGTGGTGCTGTAAGCAGCTGTACTGGTACTGCGAGGGCTTCTAGATGGGGCGGAAGGAGCACTAGTTTGGGGAGGAGCCACTGCCGCGCTGGAGCTCTCAAGTACCCACATTTGGCCCACACGCTCTTTCGGCGAGGTGACTTTCTTTGGAGACGATGGGCCATATTCACCTACGCTCGCAGAGTGCGGAAGCCCAGTCGGTGCGTGCTCCTGCGCCTTGGAACCACATGCACTGAGGTCGCTCTCCGACCGACAGGAGGGAATCCTGCGTGAAGCAGATGCGCTGACCTTGATGTTGCCGCTGCTCCTTCTCCCCCCCTGCTTGCTTGGCTCCTGGTCCGTTGCTTCCTCGTTGTTGGACCTCGTCTCGGCGCTGCTTCCTGTGCTGTTGAGGCAGTTGCACGTGCTGCTCATGCTCACGCTCCTTGAAAGCACACCGTCGGGGGTCACATCGTGCTGGTGCTGCCGCATGCCCATCATCCATTCTTGATGCTGCACCTTCATCCTCTCGCTCTGCACCTCTTGTGCCGCCTGCTTCGCCGCATCCTTGACGATCCTCTCCTTATCTTTCTGCAGCGCTTCCCTCTCCCGCTTCAACTCCTCTCGCTCCTTCCTCACCTCCTCCCTCTCCTTCCCCACAGCCTCCCTTTCCTGTGCCAACACTGCTCGCGACCACTCCAGCGACACTCGGGTCCTTTGCGCTGACGCACGTTCCTCCTTTTGCTTTGCCGCTGCCACGTCATCAGCCTGGGACCACGCTTTCAGCACCGCTTTCAGCTCCTTCGCCAAGTCGTTTCGTTCCGACGCCAACACGCGGGCGGCTGCTGTGGCTTCATTCGCTGTGCGCTCCGCTGAGCGCAAAGATTCTGCACAGAGAAAAGAAAAACAGAAACGACACGAGTAACGAAGAGTAAGAAACCACCCAAAGAGGATTGCACAACAATCGACTTTACTGATTCTAGACGCTGAGTTTGAGTGGTCCAAAAGCGCGTGTCGAGCCCCGTCATGATGTTCCGGACTCACCAGAGAGCAACTTGTTGATTCGCACGCATCGTTCCAGCTGCGTCCTCAGATCGTCAATCTCGCGACGCAGCCGTCTCATCGACACCGACCCGGCGTCCGAATCCTCCTCGTCATCCGTCGCTTCGTTTCGGGCCGTTGTCGCCGTGTCCTCGTCCTTCAAACGGGTTTTGCGGGAGAGGGTGCGCTCCGACGGATCCGACGCCGCGACGCGCGACAGGGATCGGCCTCGGGACGATGCGTTCCCCTGGATCGCTTTAGGAGAGGAAGCAGAGGAAGCAGAGGAAGCGGAGGAAGCGGAGGAAGCGGAGGACGTAGAGGAAGCGGGAGAGGTTGGGATTGTCGCGTTAGTACTTGCCGAGTCGCGTGCCACACGATCGCTAATGCTGCGGATCATCGCCTTTGCGCCACCCTCCTTACGGCTCTGCGCTCCCTCGCGACCCGCATCTGCCGCTTTAAGAGGGAACTCCCTCGACCAGTTATCACGGCTCTTGGATTCACGGTTGTGTATGTCGCTCTTTGCGCCGTGCGTTCCGCTGGTTCCTTGAGACGCACCCTTTTCCGGCGTGCGGACTCTCGGCGTCGCCGCGTCCACCGCCCCGCCTCTGTCACCCACCAGGAGCCGCATCGCGAGGCGCCGAGGGAGGTCGCGAGGCGACGCGGATCCGTTACTTGAAGCAGCGTCGCGCGGAATCATTTCAAGGGAACGGCGACTGGATTTCATGGCTGAAGGAGTGCTTGCGGGTGGCGACATGGGGGACAGCGTGCTCCGCGGGGAGTGGAGAGGTGGAACAGAAACGCTGGGGAGGGTTTTGATAAAGCGGGAGAGCGAGTCGGAGAGGAACGAGTCAGTGGACGACGATTTGCGATGGGACCTGATCGGAGACAACCGATCTATGCTGGCCATGTCAGTTACCCCTGTAAGGAAATGTATTTGAATACCACTACACCCAACGGTGGAATGGATGGGATTGATCATCAGGGAAGCGGCCAAAGCAACGAGTAGGCAGAGCAGCACAACGAGGTGGAAGAGGATGTGACGAATGGGCGCTGTAGAATGCTGAGTTCAAATCTCAAAACCTTGTCCAAATGGGCACCCTTGACGTGGCTCGGTGGTTCGCTCAACAAGGAGTGAGTAGTGGGATGGGGAGGGATGGGAGAGGGTTGCATAACATCACATAGGTATGAAGAATGCAAGAAGAATGCAGCTGCGACAAGAAGATTGCAATGCAAGCAACTGCCACTGCGAATCTGCGATGCTTGCCATCCCTGATGGCGGCTCGAAAGTCGCGCCTCCATCGCACTGCTTCCAAGTTCCACTTCGTCGCTGCGCTTCGATCACTTGCGCTTCCCTGGGCTTTCCGCCTTCCTTCTCCCTCTCCTCCCCATCGATCCGCCTCCCCCCCCGCTCGCCACCCCAAGATCACCCGTAAGTCAATCTATACGGGCAGTCACAAAAGGTTTGAGATTATCATATTGACTGTTCAATTACTCGGGGTACACAACCCAGTTGTCAGTTGTTACTGCCAGAATTTCTCACATGCTGACGAACTGTCAAAAGTCCCAAAGTTCTTGTGACTGCCCGTTTGATTGAAATATGAACTGGTCAGGGAGCGCCACCTCGAAAGTGACGGAGTGCCGTGAAGCACTGGAAGCTGTACAAGTGTAAGGAAATTCCCTTTTCCTTACTTCGCATCCCTGCTCAACGCGTACATCACTGTAGCACCTCAGTCAGCACCGTTACCACTCGCGACCATCGCATCATTCATCATCCCGCCCTTTTCGCACATCGCATCCCGACCTCACGGCTCGGCTGGTAACCCGCGCTCCGGGCCTACGCTTCGACACTTTCCCAACCTCAGTCCCAGGCTCGTCGCGCGACCATTACCGTTACCACTATAGTTTCGCTATATAATGTTCGCTCATGCCTTCGCTCATTTGTATTCCTTGCTTCGATAGTGCAATTCTCGTTCGTTCACTCAATTGCACTCGTAACACTTGGTATTCAGAGCCTACGATCTCATCTCGGACCGCACCCACACCTTCGCTTCCCACTATCTCAATTTTTGGGGGGGGTAGACGTCTCTCAGCGACACAGCACCGCCGCTCGTAGTGCTCTCTCGAAAGCACGCACGGCCACGACCGAGGCTCTCGCTGAGCTTGCCCGACACCCCCGCCATGGCCGATTTCAATCTCGCCACGTTGACGCAGGAGCAACTCGATCGTCTCGTGCGTCAATTGGAGGATTCGGCGCTCGAAATCGCGACTCTCACGGCGGAACGTGACTCCGCCCGTCAACAGTCAACGGTGAACGTACCGACGACATCACACGCACCAACCAATGCATCTGCACATTCGGAGGAGCCCATCGTCATCTCATCCGGCACACCAACGCAACACAACAGCACGGGACAGCGCTCAGGCGCAGCCAGTGACGGCGCAGCCCAACCGATGCCCGGCATGGGAGGGAACAGGAGCGCATTAAGCCCACGGGAGCCCCGAGAAGCCCGTCGGCACGTGGAGTTTGCAGCGACAAGTGGCGAGAACGCCGTGATGGCCCCAATGCCACTCAAGCCGCAACGCCCGCCCTGCTTCGACCCAAGCCAACGCGGCGGCCCGACAGTTCAATCGTGGGTCTTCACGATGAATGTGTTTTTCGACGCCAACTACGTCGAGTCGGACGCCGCCAAGATCCGGTATGCGGTTTCACTACTCAGGGGCCCCGCCATGGACTGGTGGCGAGTCATTGTGACGTCGCCGCGCGCCTACGAGCCACCGTCGCACGAGGAAGGGCCCTCGGGTCCAGCTGTTACCTGGAGTTCGTTATGCAAAACCGCCCAATACAGCACGTGGGATGCGTGGTGCGCAGGGCTTCGGGCGCGCTTTGAGCCGATCGCGGCCTCGATTTCGGCGCGTCAGAAACTGCGCACTTGGCGCCAGCTCGGGTCAGTTCAAAACTACACCAGCGGGTTTCTCGCACTTTGCGAACAGGTCGGCTACATGCACGAGGCGGAGCGGGTGGACCGTTACGTCGGAGGGCTGAAGCCGGACATCTCGCACGAGATAATGCTACGCGGGCTCTCGAATTTCAACGAGATCCTCGCGCTCGCCGAGAAAATCGATATCCTACGACGACCGAGACCGGGGTCCTATTACGGACATCGTCCTCGGGGACCGACCGAGCACGCTGTGAAAATAGAAACGTGAATGGATTGACTACGAACGAGGTGAGTACAAATAGGAAACCCTAATTGGGTTGTACCCCCTATGGGATACCCCACTATAGCCTACACAAACAAGTAAGCTATAATGTTCTGACACACCCCCATAGGCAAAGTGGGGGAGAACAAGGGGTCACAAGACCAGTCAAGCAAAGCAAAGCAAAGCTCAGGGTGGATCACAAAGTCACCACACATTCCGAGCACAAGGTCAAGGGCCACAAGGCCAGTTCGCATGCAAGATTATATATAGAGATATACAAGAATCAAACAAGCAAGAGCAAGAGTATATATAGGTCAAGGTACAAGCAAGGTCAAGAAGTGAGCAAGTGAGACAAGACAGGCACAAGACCCAGCTGCGTGCAGTAACGCTGATGATCACAAGGCGCAAGTGCCTTGGTGAAGACATCAGCAGTGTTGGCCTCAGAGGCCACGTACGCAAGTCGCGACTGTCCACGCTGCTGCAGCTCACGAGCAAGAAAGTAGCGGAGAGCAATGTGCTTTGTCCTGTGCTCCAGTCGCTGCTCTCGACACAAGGCCAGCATGGCCTTGTTGTCTACGTACAGGACTGGAGGAGAACGAGGCGGCTCTCCAAGGTCGGTCAGCAGGTAGGTGAGCCAGCGAAGCTCCTGAGCAGCCATAGCCCCAGCGTAGATCTCAGCCTCACAACTGGAGCCGAGAACAGAAGACGAGCGAGTAGCCCGCCACGAGACAGAGCCGGAACCAAGGCTGAAGGTGTAACCCAGTGACGACCGCTGTGTAGCCTGGTCGTCAGCCCAAGAAGCGTCCGCGTGCCCAGTGAGGACCACTAGACTGCGCCCTCCAAGCACTAGCCCCATGCCCGACGTACTGCACAAGTAGCACAGCACCCTCTTCGCTGCAGCCATGTGCTCTAGTCGGTGTCTCCCAGGAGCAACATAGGGTGCAAGAATGCTGAGAGGGTATGCAAGGTCAGGTTGTGTGCAGGTCATCAGGTACATGAGGCTGGCGAGTAGGCAGAGGAGTGGCCTGAGGCGAGGAGTACGTGAAGCCGAAGCGATGAAGGACCTGCTGCACCATGTGTGACTGAGTCAGGGTAATGGTGCGGCGTGCTCTGTCCCGGGTGATCTGCAAGCCAAGGTAGCTGCGCAGTTCACCCAGGTCAGTGCACGTGTGTCTCTTCTGCAGCTCGGACTTCACGTAAGCGAGTCCAGCAGTGTCCGCTGTGGCAAAGACCAAGTCGTCGACGTACACGAGGATGTAGAACGGCGGCAGAGAGGTGTCGGTGCGCAGAAACAGCGACGGGTCGGCAGTAGAAGGAGCAAACCCAAGTGCCGCAAGCGTAGTCCTCAGTGTGTCGTGCCACTCACGTGACGCCTGGCGGAGACCGTAGACTGGACGCCGGAGACTCCACTGGGTACCAGGAGGGAAAGACCCAGTGAAGCCAGGTGGGCGACGCAGCCAGATCTCCTCGTGCAGGCTGCCCTGCAAGAAAGCTGTGCTGAAGTCGAGAGAGTGCAGCTCGTAGTCACGGTGAGCAGCAACGTGCAGCAGTACCCGAAGAGTGGTCATCTTCGGGGTGGGGGAGAAGGTCTGAAAGTAGTCAACCCCCTGCCGCTGACTGAAGCCACGAGCCACGTAACGCGCCTTGAAGACAGGCCGAGAACCCGGCGGCCGCTTCACCCTGAAAATCTACATGCCACTGACGATGTTCGCCCCAGGAGGGGGAACAGCGTCAACGTAGGTGCCTGTGGACTTCCAGGAAGCCATCTCTGTATCCATAGCTGCCTGCCACTGAGAGGAGTAGGGACCCTCTATCGCCTCCGCGTAAGAGCGCGGAGTCGGGATGTCTAGTGCATCCGGGTCTCCCTCAGGGGCGAGCAGTACAGACGCGAGATGAGGTGAAGCGGCGGCCAGACACTGGAACTCCTCCTGCCTGTCCTCAAGGACGTCCGTGCCAAGGGCACACTCACCCCCGACGAACGGAGGACAGGCAGACTCAGACTCAGCAACAAGACTAGCAGCGTAGTCTAGGCGACAGCGCGCAGCAAAGTCGACGAGCTCAGTGACAAGGGCAGACGCAGCAGAAGACTCGAAAGAAGGGTCAGTGACAGCGGTAGCAAGGAGACGCGTGACAGTAGGACTGGCAGCACGAAGAGAGTCCGACTCCGGGTCGGCAAGAGTAGGAAGAGAGGAAGCAGGAGGAGAAGGCAAAGGGGCACGCAGAGGAGCAGTGGACGGACGCAGAGACATCCGGTGCGTGCCAGGGACAGGAGGAGGACGCTGACGCGAACCGCGACCACTAGCGCGCGCAGTACGAACAGGCGACGCAGGACGAGACGCAGGCTCACGACGCTCAGTAAGACCTCCAGTCGGACCAGCGTAGGGAGAAGGAGCAGGCAAAGGTGAGGCAGGCTGTAGCTGTGACTATGACGAGACAGGCTGTGGACCCTCTAAGGGAGGAGGAGGAGGACCAGGAGAAGGTGTAAGACCAAGAACCTGCTGCAGGAGCGGAACAAAGTACGGCCGGGGCCGCGCGGCGACGTCAGAAACAGCGGGGACAGCACCAGAACCCCTAGCAGGAGTACTCGCTCCAGCAGCACCTCCAGTAGCTCCCGAACCTCCAGCAGCACCAGCAGGAGCACCGCTAGTCGGACCTCCAACGGCAGTCTCAGCATCAACACCCTCAGCAGCACCAGCTCCAGGAGAACCCTCAGACCCAGCAGCTCCAGCACCCACAGTACGAGCACCGCCGGGACGCTCGGCAGTAGTACCCTCTGCAGCCGAAGAACCTCCAGCACCAGCAGCACGCCTCCAGCGTCTGGCAAACCACTCACGTAGCTCCTAAGGGGAGAGTGGCTCACGGCGAGACGAAGCACCTCCAGGCGGAGCACCCCCAGTCTCAGCACCCCCAGGCTCAGCACCCCCAGGCTCAGCACCCCCAGGCTCAGTACCCCCACGCACAGTACCCACAGGCTCAGCACCTCCAGGCACAGCACCCCCAGGCTCAGCACCCCCAGGCTCAGCACCCCCAGGCTCAGCACCCCCAGGCTCAGCACCTCCAGACTCCGCACCTCCAGGCTCAGCTCCCACAGCCGCACCAGAGTCACCAGTGACCTCGACAGGCTCGACCGCGTCTACCTGGGACACACCTGAAGGGGCAGGACCCTGAGGGGGAAGGGGGTCTACCGGGGGGGGACCTGGTACCAAGAAGAGCGGGGGAGGGGGGAGGGACGAAGTGCGGTAGGGGAAGAGGCGGTAGTAGGGTACCAACTCGTCAAACGTGACGTCCTGAGAGGACAGAACACGTCGAGAAGTGGGGTGGTAGAACTGCCACCCGGGGGCGTCGGGGGGGAACCCCAGGAAGACGCAGGGAGCAGCGCGAGGGGACAGCTTGTCCGCAGACAAGTCGCGGACAAACGCCCGAGATCCCCAGACCCGGAACGCCGACGCATCGCCAACCTTCCCCGTCCACAGCAGCGCTGGGGAGGTCTCCGGCGTGGAGACCCTGGGGTGGAGGTTGATCTGATGCCCTGCGTACCTGACCGCAAACGGCCACAGAAAATGGGGGGCAGCCGCATGCATCATGGACGTACGAGCGACGTCCATGACCATGCCAATGCGGCGCTCTGCAATCCCATTCTGCTGCGGGGAGTCCGGAAGCGTGAAGGTCTGGCGGATGCCTCGCGCACGACAGTAGGCACGCAGAAGGGCAGAGGAGAACTCTCCGCCTCTGTCCGAGTGCAGACGCAACACAGGAAAGTCCGAGCCAAAGCTCTGCCTGAGCTGGAGACGAGCTGCGCGGATCCAGTCGATCAGCACCTCAGTGACATCACCCTTGCTGCGCAAGGGGAAGACTGTGGTGTAACGCGAGCAGTCGTCAACCACCAGCAGGAAGTAGCGCTCGTGACCGAGTCCACGGACGCGGGCAGGGCCCCACACGTCCATGTGAAGCGTCTGCAACGGAGCCTCTATCGGAGGAAACTGGGAGGAGTGAGGGGCAGCACGCTGGCGCCCCTCGACACAGGGGACACAGGCAGGGCCAGGGCCCTGAGGAAGGGGAGGTAGAGACCGGGGGAGACCAGACACAAGAAGATGGGAGGCCATGCCTCTGAGCCGAAGCAGAGAGGGGTGGCCAAGACGGTGGTGCCAGAGGAGGGTCTCGTGAGACAGACGGCGACACGAACAGGGGGCAGACTCAGGACCAGACCTGGACGCTGCAGCAAACACCTGACCAGACGAAGGCACGCTACCAGACTCAGCACCTGGAGGAGAAGCAGTGGTCAGTGTGTACAGGCTCGACCCTGGCTGACGTGTAAACGTAGCCAGGTGACGACCCGTGCTAGCCTCCGTGCAGTGCGTCACTCGCTGACTAGCAGGGGTGAATTGGTGAACTCCCCCATCCTGTAGGTCAGCACCACTCACCAAGTTCGTAGAGAACGAGGGGAGGTAGAGACCAGACAGGGTGCCAGAGGGAGCCGCCGGACACGGGAGGACCGTGGAGAAGCGAGCCAGGACAGGACCCCCAGAGGGGTCAGCCAGGGAAACCGCAACCGGCCGACTAAGTGGCGTAAGTGTTGTGCGGTCCCGAAAAAAAGAGCGAGACGCTCCAGAGTCAAGAGTGAAGGTGTGGGAGGCCGAAGCCGACGCAGTACCTGAGAGCGCAGACGCACTAGTACCTGAGAGAGCAGTCTCACGAGTACCTGGGAGTACAGACGCACTGGCACCTAGAGCAGAAGCCTCACCGGTACCTGGAGCAGCAGTACCAATGCCCGGGTCGGGCGGGAAACACCGGTAACAGTCACCCTCCTCACTAGTGGTCACAGCATACATGGCAGCAAGGATAGCATCAAAATCAAGATCAAAGATAGCTACACCAGCCCTAGACAGCTCTCCCCAGCGGGGGATCTCCGCGGCCTCCGGGAACTGGTGACGCCAAGCGTCTGTCAGGCGGCCAAAGCAGCGCTGAGCGGGGTGGGCACCCCCACACTGCTCTCCAGTGCGGTCGCCAGTGCGGAGAACGTAGGTGCAGGGACCAAAACCCCCACCGCGCTGACGCTGCGTGTACCACTCACGGAGCTGCTGGGGGGTGAGGACGTCGCGAGAACGGTGCTGCTGCTGCTGCTGCTGCTGTTGGCGCTGACCGCCACCAGTGCCGCTCCGCTGCGAAGCCCCACTCCGACCACCTCCACCTCCGCCACCCCCGCTTCCGCCTCCACCGCCCCCGCCCCCACCTCCACCGCCGCCACCTCCGCCACCTCCGCTACCACCGCCACCGCCGCCGCCACTCCCGCCGCCACCGCTGCCACTAGCACCCCCACCCCCACTACTACCTCCACCGCCACCCCCACTCCCTCCGCCGCCTCCACCCCCACCGCCACCGCCCCCACTGGCCCCACCCGCTCCCTTGCCCCCCTTGCCCTTGCCAGAGCGGCGTCTCCCGCTAGGGGCAGACGCCGCACCGACCGACTCAAGACCAACGAGGTCGGCCGCAGCGGCAGAGGCAACAGAGGGCAGGAGAGGGGAAGGAGAACACCCCTCAAAGATGGGGGCGCGGGGGTCACCTCGAGAGGCTCCTACAGCAACTATGCTCTTCTCTGCTGCAAGAAGGGCCTTCTCGAGGCTGTCGACGGTGAGGGTGGTGGGACTGACCGCAAGGAAGTGGTCCCGGACTACACGAAGGGAGTCAGGGAGGCGAGTGACTAGGAAGTAGAGAGTGATGTACATGGCGGGGGGGTTCTTGGTGCAGAAGTCAGCAGGAAGTGCAGCACGGTAGCGAGTGTCACTAGTGCGGAGGTGCGTGATGAGATCAGCGACAGTGGGAAAGGCGGCAAGGTCAGGGAAGAGGAAGGGGAGCATGAGGCGGCTCAGTGCAGTAGTGGCAGGTGAGGAGTAGCGTGCAACTACAGCGTCGTACAAGGTCTGAGCACTCTTGTACTGACTAAAGTGCGCGCGCTCAGCGGTAGGCAGGTGGCGAGGCACAGCAAGACGTGCAGCAGCATCGCGCGTGGCCCACTGAGAGCGAACAGTGGCGTCAGCATCAGCAGCAGGGGCAGGGTCAAAGAGAGACAGACTGTCGGCCCTGTCGCACTGTAAAAACAGCTGCAGGTCGTCGAGCCAGACCTCAAAGTCAATGGCTCGACCCTCAGCGTCAAAAGTGAGGACAGTGGGTGTAGCCATGACGACGACAGTGGCGCAGTGCAAGCAGTAGGGGAAGGGTACGCAGTGACAGCAGTGCAGTGCTCACCGGGTAGGGCAGGTCGGGCGGCTCAGGAGGAAGGTCGCCAGACGACACGGCCGCTAGGCTGCTGGGCGGCTCGGCTCCCGGGCGGCTCGGCTGCTGCTGGGCGGCTCGGCTGCTGTTGGGCGGCTCGGCTGCTGCTGGGCGGCTCGGCTGCTCCTGGGCGGCTCGGCTGCTGCTGGGCGGCTCGGCTGCTGATGGGCGGCTCGGCTGCTGCTGGGCGGCTCGGCTGCTGCTGGGCGGCTCGGCTGCTGCTGGGCGGCTCGGCGGCTCGTCTGCTGCTGGGCGGCTCGGCTGCCGCTGGGCCGCGTAGGATGGGCGGGCGGGCCGCGAAGGTAGGGCGGCGGGTGGGCCGCAGGTAGGGCGGCGGGTGGGCCGCAGGTAAGGCGGCGGGTGGGCCGCAGGTAGGGCGGCGGGACGGCCGCTGGTAGGGCGGCAGACGGCCGCAGGTAGGGCGGCGGGTAGGCCGCAGGTAGGGCGGCGGGACGGCCGCAGGTAGGGAGGCGGGACGGCCACAGGTAGGGCGGCGGGTAGGTCGCAGGTAGGGCGACGGGACGGCCGCAGGTAGGGCGGCGGACGGCCGCAGGTAGGGCGGCGGGTAGGCCGCAGGTAGGGCGGCGGGTAGGCCGCAGGTAGGGCGGCGAGTGGGCCGCAGGTAGGGCGGCGGGACGGCCGCAGGCAGGGCGGCGGACGGCCGCAGGCAGGGCGGCGGGACGGCCGCAGGTAGGGAAGCGGCGGGGCCGCGTCGAGGAGGCGGCGGGGCCGCGTCGAGGAGGCGGCGGGGCCGCGTCGAGAAGGCGGCGGGGCCGCGTCGAGGAGGCGGCGGGGCCGCGTCGAGGAGGCGGCGGGGCCGCGTCGAGGAGGCGGCGGGGCCGCGTCGAGGAGGCGGCGGGGCCGCGTCGAGGAGGCGGCGGGGCCGCGAGGGGAAGGGCGACACGGAGGGTCGCGAGAAAAAAGAACGCGCGCCTCGGGGCGCGCTTCGGTGGGCCCTAGAGAACAGTCCCTAGGATGGGACCTGCTCTGATTCCATGTGAAAATAGAAACGTGAATGGATTGACTACGAACGAGGTGAGTACAAATAGGAAACCCTAATTGGGTTGTACCCCCTATGGGATACCCCACTATAGCCTACACAAACAAGTAAGCTATAATGTTCTGACACACGCCACTGTACATGCCGTCGCAGCGAATGCAGCTGCCGCGCCGTTTAGAGGGCGCTGCTTTGCTTGCAACCGGCCGGGCCATCGCAAGAGCGAATGTCCAGAGGAGCTGAGGCGTCAAGGAGCAGAGCAGGGGAGGGAGTCTCGGAGGCAGGGAAACGCCAGCAGTCAGTAGAAGTTGGGCCAACTACTGACGAGACTGCCTGCTCGCCCAACCACACCGACCCTCACCGAGTCACAGTACCGATTCACGCCATCGATCGGGCTCGGATGAATAAGGAGGGTACAGCGACGGATTGCCCGGTACTGATCTACGGGAAAATACAAGAAGCAGCAGTGAAGATCTTCATTGACGGAGGAGCAAGCCACAGCTTAGTTAATACCGCAACCGCACGAAAATTACAGTTAACGCTTAACCGATGTTTACCTGAGAAAGATGCACGCTTAGTCGACGGCACGCCCCTGGCCATACGGGAAAAGGTGGAGCGCGTAAAAGTCCGCTGCGGGGGGAACTTCGGGTTTACACAGGAAATGCTCGCGACGACACTGGATGGGCACGACATTTTATTGGGACGTGATTGGCTGCGACGGTACAACCCACGGATCGACTGGACGACGGGGAGCTGCACAGTACGGAGTAGTGGTAACTGGGTCGTTCTACCTCGCTGGCAGCCACTCGAATCTTCGACGGTCCAAGTCAACGCTATCACGATGAAACGGGCTGTCGCTGCTGGAGCTGACGTGTACGCAGTGGATATCGCACTCGTAGAAAAAGATGAGCAGCCGGGTGATTTGGAGAAACTGCTGGCAGCTGTACCGACCGAACTACAGGCACTACTGAAACGGTTCCCGGGGATATTTCCGGATGATTTACCACAGGGACTGCCACCTCAGCGGGCGCACGACCATAGGATCGAGTTAGAACCGGGGGCACAGCCAACTGTACAGCGCAAATTTCGACTGACACAGCCCGAGCTCGACGAGTTAAGGAAGCAGTTAGATTACCTGTTAGAGAAGCAGTTTATCCGACCGAGCTCGTCACCGTTCGCCGCACCGATACTGTTCACACCGAAAAAAGACGGAGGGTTCCGCATGTGCATCGACTACCGAGCGCTTAACAGGGTAACAGTCAAATCGCGATACCCCATCCCCCGCGCCGACGAACTGATCGACCAACTGCGAACAGCACGAGTCTTTTCGAAAATAGATTTACGGGGAGGTTACCATCAGATTCGGGTCGAACCATCGGACTGCGCCAAAACAGCATTTAGGACTAGGTACGGGTCATTCGAGTATACAGTAATGCCATTCGGGCTGACGAACGCGCCTGCGACATTTCAGATGACCATGAACGAGGCGTTTAGACCACTTTTAGATAAATGCGTGATAGTTTACCTGGACGATATTCTAGTTTACAGCCGGGATAAGCAGCAGCACTTAGTGGATCTTGAAGCGGTTTTTTAAGTTTTGGAGGAACATCGGCTACTCACCAAGGGCTCCAAGTGCGAGTTTTTTTGGGACAGACTAGAGTTTTTGGGTCACGTCATTTCGGAGGCTGGGGTTGAGATTGACCCAAAGAAGCTGGATACGGTAAAAGCGTGGCGCCCCCCGACGAACATCACGGAACTGCAGAGTTTTTTAGGTTTTGTTAATTACGTTCGACGGTTCGTGCCCGACATGGCACGTTTAACAGCCCCACTCACTGATTTACTGCGTAAGGGGGTCGTTTTTACGTGGGGGGAGAAAGAGCATGCTGCCTTCTCTGCCCTGAAAAACGTTCTCTGTTCACCACCCGTTCTACGCATCGCTGATCCCCACCGCCCTTTCGAAGTGGTTACCGACGCCAGTGACATCGCCATCGGAGCTGTACTGTTACAGGACTTCGGCGACGGCCTCCAACCCATCGCCTACGAATCACGCAAACTACATCCGCCTGAGCGAAATTACCCGATACACGACCGCGAAATGCTCGCGATCGTGCACGCATTCAAAGTGTGGCGCTGCTACTTGACCGGCGCAGACGTGACAGTACGGACAGACCATCGTTCTCTACAGTACCTCCGCGCACAGCCCCACCTCAACCCACGACAAATTCGATGGCTCGATTTCCTCGAGTCGAATTTTCACTATACGGTCACATACAAAAAAGGAGCCTCGAATATTGCCGACGCACTGACCCGCCCCACTGCCCAGATCCACGCGATACTACTCGCCCAGACCAGCCCACTACTGACAGGCCTATTTACCCACGGATATCAAACAGACCCGTTCTTTACAGGAGGCAACTCACAGCAATTCGCAGCGGCAAAAGGAGTCTATTACGTAAAAGCTGGAACCGACCGCATCTGGGTACCAGGATACACGCTACTGCGGGAACTACTGTTACAGGAAGCACACGACGGAGTTACCTCGGGACATTTCGGGGTAGAAAAAACACGGCAGCAGCTGCAGCGGTATTACTACTGGCCAGAAATGTTGACTGATGTGCAACGACACGTGGCATCGTGTCCCACTTGCCAGCTCATGAAGTCAAGCAGGAAGCGGCCGGCGGGACAATTGCAACCCATCCCGCCCCCAGAGCGTGCTTGGCAGCAGGTGACAATGGATTTCGTCACGGGGTTACCAGCTGGGGCGAGTGGGAATGACGCGATCCTGGTCGTCGTCGATCGACTAACGAAGATGGCTCATTTCGCAGCATGCAGGAAATCAATCACAGCCGAGGAAACCGCCCGACTCTTCATCACCACCGTCGTTCGACTGCACGGGATACCCGCATCGATCATCAGCGACAGGGACACGAAATTTACAAGCAACTTCTGGCGGAACCTGTGGCAGCAGTTCGGCACACGCTTACAGTTCAGTTCATCCTATCACCCCGAAACCGACGGACAGACGGAACGGACAAATCAGACCATGGAGCAGCTGATTCGAGCCACGTGCGACGATCCGAATACGTGGGAACAGCAGCTGCCACTCATCGAGTTCGCATACAATAACGCACCATCAGCCACGACGCAACAGTCGCCGTTTTACTTGAATTACGGACAGGACCCAACAGTACCCATGACACCGAATCCCGACAACCCCGTCCCACGAGCACAACAGTTCGCCGAGATTCTGCAAGCAGCACGGACCAGGGCAGCAGAAGCAATCAAAAAATCAAACATCATGGCTAAACGCAACGCCGATCGCCATCGCAGACCCATTACTTATAAGCCCGACGACCTCGTTTTACTCGACACTCAGAACCTCCGCCTGCCAATCACTCCAAAACTCCGCCCTCGATACTGTGGGCCATTTCGAATCAGTCACATGGTTACGCCAGTCACCGCGCACCTCCTTCTCCCTGCTGACTGGTACGTCAGCCCCTCGTTCCACGTTAGCTTACTTCGCCCTTACGTGCCATCCACCAGCCAACTCCCACGAGATCGACCCACCAGCATGACACGACCACCAACCGAACCAGTCATCACCCCCGACAAGATCCTGAGCCACAGAGTTCGCGACCCTCGAGGAGCCCGCAAAGTAGAGTTTCTGATCCGCTGGAAAGGTCGTACCCCCACCGAGGACTATTGGGTTCCCCAGGAGAAAGTTGAAAATCACCCCGTCGTCACCGACTACCTACGTAGCCGCAATTTCCGAGACATCCACGCGCTTTCATAAGGAGGACCTCCTTAGGAGGGGGGGTAGTGTAAGGAAATTCCCTTTTCCTTACTTCGCGTCCCTGCTCAACGCGTACATCACTGTAGCACCTCAGTCAGCACCATTACCACTCGCGACCATCGCATCATTCATCATCCCGCCCTTTTCGCACATCGCATCCCGACCTCACGGCTCGGCTGGTGTAACCCGCGCTCCGGGCCTACGCTTCGACACTTTCCCAACCTCAGTCCCAGGCTCGTCGCGCGACCATTACCGTTACCACTATAGTTTCGCTATATAATGTTCGCTCATGCCTTCGCTCATTCGTATTCCTTGCTTCGATAGTGCAATTCTCGTTCGTTCACTCAATTGCACTCGTAACAACAAGCAAAACTTGGAAGCATACAAATCAAAAGCAACTCGTTATATTCCATCGGTGAAAGATACTAGTAAGTTATTACATTTCTATTTTGTGGTGAAAGATACTAGTACGTTATTACATTTCTATTTTGTCTTCCACTGGAAGAACATTATAGATAAAGAATACAAGGTGCAGCAAGAGGCACAACAAAATGAAGGGGATCGACTGGAAATCATTGACTACAAAGCCCCCACGGAGAGATGCATAACTACATTCCCTCGCGCAGTCTTTTATAACACAAAACGAACACGAATTTATCAAGAATGTCTGCCCCAGTGTCAGAATGAGGAATGAATGGTTCCATTGATGTTGGTTGGGGTACATATAACAAACCCTAACTTCTGTACCCCCTAAGACAAACCTCACTACAGGCTACAACATTTGACACACCCCCATAGCCTAAGTGAGGGGTGTCTAGCAAAATCAAAAAGAGTACGGTCACAAGACCAGTCCAAAAGAAAACAAAGCTCAGGGTGGATCACAACGTCACCACACACTCTGAGCACAAGCAACAGTGGCCACAAGGCCAGTCCAAGAGATCACAAGTATATATAGCAAGTGTACAGACGAAGCAGACAATAAACTCAAGTCTACACATGACTAGAACCTGAGTCAACAAGGCCTAACTGCACACAACACCTCTGGTGGTCACAAGGCGGAAGCGCCTTGGTGAAGATGTCTGCAGTGTTGGCCTCGGACTCCACGAACTCGAAGCGAGCCTGTCCACGTCTCTGCAACTCTCGCAGAAGAAAGTACCTGACGTGAATGTGCTTCACTCTGCTCTCCAGTCGCGGCTCACGACAGAGGAGGATCGACGCCTTGTTGTCAGTAAACAAGGTCGGTGCAGAGCTCGGCCGCTCACCAAGGTCGGCGAGCAAGAAGGTCAACCACCGCAACTCCTGTGCCGCCATGGCACCAGCGTAAATCTCAGCCTCAGCTGTAGAGGTCGAGACAGAAGAGGAGCGCGTGGAACGCCAGGAAACAGCTCCAGAACCCAGACTGAAACAGTACCCCTGAGTAGACCTGTAAGTCTCAGCGTCGTCAGCGTAAGAGGAGTCACAGTGACCAGTGAGTACGACAGACTGCTGCCCTCCAAGAACTAGCCCCACGCCTGATGTAGTCGCTAGGTACTTCGCCACCCTCACAGCTGCCGTCCAGTGAACAGGACGGTGTCTCCCTGGCGCAACAAAGCGCGCAAGGATGCTGAGAGGGAAGGCGAGGTCCGGGCGAGTACAAGTCATCAGGTACATGAGGCAACCCACAAGCTCTGCGTAGGGACCACTAGGCTCAAACGGCTCGTCAGGAAAGGGACCAGTGAGTCTGTGGTCAACAGCGAGAGGTGTGCGCTGTACGGTGGAGTGCTGAAGCCCGAACCGCTGAAGGACCTGCTGCACCATGTGTGACTGTGAGAGTGTAATGGTGCGAGCGGCTCTGTCCCTGGTGATCTGCAGGCCAAGGTAGTGGCGCAGCTCACCAAGATCAGTGCACGTGTGTCTCTTCTGCAGTTCGGACTTCACGTCTGCCAAAGCAACCCTGTCCGGAGTGGCGAAAACGAGGTCGTCGACGTAGACCAGGACAAAGAACGGTGTGGAGCCACGACGAACGAACAGCGACGGGTCGGCAGAAGACGGCTGGAACCCAAGGTCAGAGAGGGTAGAACGCAGAGTGTCGTGCCACTCACGAGGGGCCTGGCGAAGACCGTAAACAGGTCGCCTCAGCCTCCACTGGGTCCCAGGAGGGAAAGTGCCAATGAAGGCCGAGGGACGACGTAACCAGACCTCCTCGTGTAGGCTGCCCTGAAGGAAAGCAGTGGAGAAGTCGAGAGAGTGTAACTCGTAGTCTCTCTGTGCTGCTACGTGTAGTAACACCCGAAGAGTGGTCATCTTCGGGGTAGGTGCGAAGGTCTGAAAGAAGTCAACTCCCTCGCGCTGACTGAAACCTCTAGCCACGTAGCGCGCCTTGAAGACCGGGGGAGATCCCGGTGGCCGCTTCACCCTGTAGATCCACATGCCGTCGACTACGTTCGCCCCAGGGGGGGGAACCTCATCAACGTAGGTGCCTGTGGATCTGTAGGAGGCCATCTCTGCGTCCATGGCAGCTCTCCACTGAGAGGCCCAAGGCCCTGACACTGCCTCAGCGTAAGTGCGAGGAGTCGGAATGTCAAGGGCGTCGGGGTCACCCTCAGGGGCGAGGAGCATGGCACAGAGATGAGGGGAAGCGGCCGCCAGGAACTCTAGCTCAAACTGCCTGTCCTCTAGGGCGTCACAGCCAAGGGCAGACACACCCCCGACGGCCAGAGGACTGGTAGGAGGAGCAGCCACAAGCGTGGTGGCGTAGTCAAGGCGACGGGTAGAGGCAAAGTCAGTAACTGCGGCAGTAAGAGCGGACACAGAGGACACAGAGGCACGAGGGTGAGTAACAAGAGAGGCGAGAACACGAGAGAGAACAGGACGGTACGTGCGGTAGTAGTCAGTGACGGGAGCAGGGAGCGACACAGTGAGGGCCGACTCAGGAGGAGACGGAAGCACAGACTGAGACGGACGAGGTGGACTAGAACAAAGTAAGGCAGTACGAAGGTCAGTGAAGGGAACAGGAGACGAGGGACGAGCACGAGGGGAGCGACGAGTAGCCCAAGAACGAGACGGAGGAGGAGAGGACAAAGGCGGAGAACTGGAGAAAACAGCGGGGGAGGAGTCAGGCGGAGGAAACGTGGGACCGTAGACAGGAGGAGAGGCGGAGGAGGGAGGAGAAGGGGAGGGGAGACCAAGGGCCCGAAGACCCGAGACAGGAGGAGGAAGTGGCTGCTGCTGCTGCTGCTGCGACTGCTGCTGCTGCGGACGCGGCTGCTGCTGGGACTGCTGCTCCTGCGGGTCCAGCTGCTGCTGCTGCTCCGCCAGCTGCTGTAACTCCCTCTCCTCGCTCTCCAACGCCAGCTGCACGTCACGGGCACCGCGAACACGAGCCTGGTGCCTAGTCGGGTAGGGGTGGGGGGGCGGAGTAGTGTCCGAAGCAGCGGCAGCTCCAGAGTCAACCCCCGAAGAACCAGGCGCACCACCCCCAGAGGCAGCACTAACACCAGCTCCAGACCCAGGCTCACCAGAACCCGAAGGAGGCGCACTCTCACCCCCAGTGTCCGCGCGACCAGCACCAGCTCCCGGACGACAAGAGTCCTCTGCACCCACCGGGTCAGCTCCAACTCCAGAACCAGAAACTCCAGCTCCAACTCCAGCTCCAACACCAGCTCCAACTCCAGCACCCCCAGAACCAGAAACCGGTACAGGAACAGGCTCAGCACCAACCTCTCGAGAGCTAGCACCAGCGGCACGCTGCGAGGAGGACTGTGGGGAGGGAGGCTGTACCGGAGGGGCTACTGAAGGAGGAGGGGTAGCCTGGGACACACCTGACGGGGCTGGGCCAGGGGGGGGAGGCTGTACCGGGGGAGCAGGAGGGGGAGCGGCAGTCAGGAAGAGGGGGGGAGGAGGAACCGGGAGACCTCGACTGGGGTACCTGACGTAGTACGGAGTGGACTCCTCGAAACGGACGTCACGGGAGTCAAAGAACCGGTGAGAGGGAGGGTGGTAAAAGGTGAAGTCAGAGGAGTCCTCAGGGAAACCAAGGAAGACACAGGGGACGGCACGAGGCGAGAGCTTGTCCGCGGAGGTGTCGCGGACAAGAGCCAAGCACCCCCAGACACGAAACCGCGACGCAACACCAGGGGACCCTGTCCAAAGACTGGTCGGTGAAACCTCTGGTCGAGAGACACGTGGCCAGAGGTTCAGCTGGTGCGCGGCGTACCTGACCGCATAGGGCCACAGAAAATGGGGGGCACAGGCGTGAGTCAGGGAGGTGCGGGCGATCTCCATGACCAGGCCTATGCGGCGCTCAGCAACCCCATTCTGCTGTGGGGACTCTGGAAGCGTCCAGGACTGACGAATGCCCTGCTCGCGACAGAATCCAGCGAGAATGCCGGAGCGAAACTCACCCCCACGGTCGGAGTGGAGACAGCTGACACGACGACCACGAGTGTCCTCGGTGGTGAGCAACCACCTGATCAGCGTAGAAGTCACCTCAGACTTCTTCGCCAGAGGGAACACTGTGGTGTAGCGGGAGAAGTCGTCAACGACCACCAGAAAGTAACGCTCACGCTCAGGGCCTAGACGAGGGGCGGGGCCCCAGACGTCCAAGTGAAGCGTCTCAAAAGGCTCGGTGGCCGGACGAAGGGAGGAGGAGTGAGGGGTGGCGCGCAGCCTACCCTCGACGCAGGGACGACACGGCGGCGCAAGCGAAGGCGGCAGCGACGGCAAGACACGTGGGAGGCCTAGGACAAGACGCTGACTAGACATAGCGCGCAGACGAGGAAGGGATGGGTGCCCCATCCGGTGGTGCCACAGAACGGTGGGGTGGGCAAGCGACCAACCCCATTCTGCTGTGGGGACTCCCCATCCTAGATACCTTGGGACGAGATTCCAGCTCTTTTTTCCTTCAAACGGGCCCGCCGCATGAAGAACCGTCCCCATATAAGGGCGTTTGTGAGCCCGGGAAGCTGCGAAATCCGTACCGGTATAAAATGTGAAGCAATGTTACTCGGATCATGGACCGCCCAGCACGATCGTGTTTGCCACAATCCTAGATACCTTGGGACGAGATTCCAGCTCTTTTTTCCTTCAAACGGGCCCGCCGCATGAAGAACCGTCCCCATATAAGGGCGTTTGTGAGCCCGGGAAGCTGCGAAATCCGTACCGGTATAAAATGTGAAGCAATGTTACTCGGATCATGGACCGCCGAGCACGATCGTGTTTGCCACAATCCTAGATACCTTGGGACGAGATTCCAGCTCTTTTTTCCTTCAAACGGGCCCGCCGCATGAAGAACCGTCCCCATATAAGGGCGTTTGTGAGCCCGGGAAGCTGCGAAATCCGTACCGGTATAAAATGTGAAGCAATGTTACTCGGATCATGGACCGCCCAGCACGATCGTGTTTGCCACAATCCTAGATACCTTGGGACGAGATTCCAGCTCTTTTTGCCTTCAATCGGGCACGGTGCATGAAGAACCGTCCCCATATAAGGGCGTTTGTGAGCCCGGGAAGCTGCGAAATCCGTACCGGTATAAAATGTGAAGCAATGTTACTCGGATCATGGACCGCCCAGCACGATCGTGTTTGCCACAATCCTAGATACCTTGGGACGAGATTCCAGCTCTTTTTTCCTTCAAACGGGCCCGCCGCATGAAGAACCGTCCCCATATAAGGGCGTTTGTGAGCCCGGGAAGCTGCGAAATCCGTACCGGTATAAAATGTGAAGCAATGTTACTCGGATCATGGACCGCCGAGCACGATCGTGTTTGCCACAATCCTAGATACCTTGGGACGAGATTCCAGCTCTTTTTTCCTTCAAACGGGCCCGCCGCATGAAGAACCGTCCCCATATAAGGGCGTTTGTGAGCCCGGGAAGCTGCGAAATCCGTACCGGTATAAAATGTGAAGCAATGTTACTCGGATCATGGACCGCCCAGCACGATCGTGTTTGCCACAATCCTAGATACCTTGGGACGAGATTCCAGCTCTTTTTGCCTTCAATCGGGCACGGTGCATGAAGAACCGTCCCCATATAAGGGCGTTTGTGAGCCCGGGAAGCTGCGAAATCCGTACCGGTATAAAATGTGAAGCAATGTTACTCGGATCATGGACCGCCGAGCACGATCGTGTTTGCCACAATCCTAGATACCTTGGGACGAGATTCCAGCTCTTTTTTCCTTCAAACGGGCCCGCCGCATGAAGAACCGTCCCCATATAAGGGCGTTTGTGAGCCCGGGAAGCTGCGAAATCCGTACCGGTATAAAATGTGAAGCAATGTTACTCGGATCATGGACCGCCGAGCACGATCGTGTTTGCCACAATCCTAGATACCTTGGGACGAGATTCCAGCTCTTTTTTCCTTCAAACGGGCCCGCCGCATGAAGAACCGTCCCCATATAAGGGCGTTTGTGAGCCCGGGAAGCTGCGAAATCCGTACCGGTATAAAATGTGAAGCAATGTTACTCGGATCATGGACCGCCCAGCACGATCGTGTTTGCCACAATCCTAGATACCTTGGGACGAGATTCCAGCTCTTTTTTCCTTCAAACGGGCCCGCCGCATGAAGAACCGTCCCCATATAAGGGCGTTTGTGAGCCCGGGAAGCTGCGAAATCCGTACCGGTATAAAATGTGAAGCAATGTTACTCGGATCATGGACCGCCGAGCACGATCGTGTTTGCCACAATCCTAGATACCTTGGGACGAGATTCCAGCTCTTTTTTCCTTCAAACGGGCCCGCCGCATGAAGAACCGTCCCCATATAAGGGCGTTTGTGAGCCCGGGAAGCTGCGAAATCCGTACCGGTATAAAATGTGAAGCAATGTTACTCGGATCATGGACCGCCGAGCACGATCGTGTTTGCCACAATCCTAGATACCTTGGGACGAGATTCCAGCTCTTTTTGCCTTCAATCGGGCACGGTGCATGAAGAACCGTCCCCATATAAGGGCGTTTGTGAGCCCGGGAAGCTGCGAAATCCGTACCGGTATAAAATGTGAAGCAATGTTACTCGGATCATGGACCGCCCAGCACGATCGTGTTTGCCACAATCCTAGATACCTTGGGACGAGATTCCAGCTCTTTTTTCCTTCAAACGGGCCCGCCGCATGAAGAACCGTCCCCATATAAGGGCGTTTGTGAGCCCGGGAAGCTGCGAAATCCGTACCGGTATAAAATGTGAAGCAATGTTACTCGGATCATGGACCGCCGAGCACGATCGTGTTTGCCACAATCCTAGATACCTTGGGACGAGATTCCAGCTCTTTTTTCCTTCAAACGGGCCCGCCGCATGAAGAACCGTCCCCATATAAGGGCGTTTGTGAGCCCGGGAAGCTGCGAAATCCGTACCGGTATAAAATGTGAAGCAATGTTACTCGGATCATGGACCGCCGAGCACGATCGTGTTTGCCACAATCCTAGATACCTTGGGACGAGATTCCAGCTCTTTTTTCCTTCAAACGGGCCCGCCGCATGAAGAACCGTCCCCATATAAGGGCGTTTGTGAGCCCGGGAAGCTGCGAAATCCGTACCGGTATAAAATGTGAAGCAATGTTACTCGGATCATGGACCGCCCAGCACGATCGTGTTTGCCACAATCCTAGATACCTTGGGACGAGATTCCAGCTCTTTTTTCCTTCAAACGGGCCCGCCGCATGAAGAACCGTCCCCATATAAGGGCGTTTGTGAGCCCGGGAAGCTGCGAAATCCGTACCGGTATAAAATGTGAAGCAATGTTACTCGGATCATGGACCGCCGAGCACGATCGTGTTTGCCACAATCCTAGATACCTTGGGACGAGATTCCAGCTCTTTTTTCCTTCAAACGGGCCCGCCGCATGAAGAACCGTCCCCATATAAGGGCGTTTGTGAGCCCGGGAAGCTGCGAAATCCGTACCGGTATAAAATGTGAAGCAATGTTACTCGGATCATGGACCGCCCAGCACGATCGTGTTTGCCACAATCCTAGATACCTTGGGACGAGATTCCAGCTCTTTTTTCCTTCAAACGGGCCCGCCGCATGAAGAACCGTCCCCATATAAGGGCGTTTGTGAGCCCGGGAAGCTGCGAAATCCGTACCGGTATAAAATGTGAAGCAATGTTACTCGGATCATGGACCGCCGAGCACGATCGTGTTTGCCACAATCCTAGATACCTTGGGACGAGATTCCAGCTCTTTTTTCCTTCAAACGGGCCCGCCGCATGAAGAACCGTCCCCATATAAGGGCGTTTGTGAGCCCGGGAAGCTGCGAAATCCGTACCGGTATAAAATGTGAAGCAATGTTACTCGGATCATGGACCGCCGAGCACGATCGTGTTTGCCACAATCCTAGATACCTTGGGACGAGATTCCAGCTCTTTTTTCCTTCAAACGGGCCCGCCGCATGAAGAACCGTCCCCATATAAGGGCGTTTGTGAGCCCGGGAAGCTGCGAAATCCGTACCGGTATAAAATGTGAAGCAATGTTACTCGGATCATGGACCGCCCAGCACGATCGTGTTTGCCACAATCCTAGATACCTTGGGACGAGATTCCAGCTCTTTTTTCCTTCAAACGGGCCCGCCGCATGAAGAACCGTCCCCATATAAGGGCGTTTGTGAGCCCGGGAAGCTGCGAAATCCGTACCGGTATAAAATGTGAAGCAATGTTACTCGGATCATGGACCGCCGAGCACGATCGTGTTTGCCACAATCCTAGATACCTTGGGACGAGATTCCAGCTCTTTTTTCCTTCAAACGGGCCCGCCGCATGAAGAACCGTCCCCATATAAGGGCGTTTGTGAGCCCGGGAAGCTGCGAAATCCGTACCGGTATAAAATGTGAAGCAATGTTACTCGGATCATGGACCGCCCAGCACGATCGTGTTTGCCACAATCCTAGATACCTTGGGACGAGATTCCAGCTCTTTTTTCCTTCAAACGGGCCCGCCGCATGAAGAACCGTCCCCATATAAGGGCGTTTGTGAGCCCGGGAAGCTGCGAAATCCGTACCGGTATAAAATGTGAAGCAATGTTACTCGGATCATGGACCGCCGAGCACGATCGTGTTTGCCACAATCCTAGATACCTTGGGACGAGATTCCAGCTCTTTTTTCCTTCAAACGGGCCCGCCGCATGAAGAACCGTCCCCATATAAGGGCGTTTGTGAGCCCGGGAAGCTGCGAAATCCGTACCGGTATAAAATGTGAAGCAATGTTACTCGGATCATGGACCGCCCAGCACGATCGTGTTTGCCACAATCCTAGATACCTTGGGACGAGATTCCAGCTCTTTTTGCCTTCAATCGGGCACGGTGCATGAAGAACCGTCCCCATATAAGGGCGTTTGTGAGCCCGGGAAGCTGCGAAATCCGTACCGGTATAAAATGTGAAGCAATGTTACTCGGATCATGGACCGCCCAGCACGATCGTGTTTGCCACAATCCTAGATACCTTGGGACGAGATTCCAGCTCTTTTTTCCTTCAAACGGGCCCGCCGCATGAAGAACCGTCCCCATATAAGGGCGTTTGTGAGCCCGGGAAGCTGCGAAATCCGTACCGGTATAAAATGTGAAGCAATGTTACTCGGATCATGGACCGCCGAGCACGATCGTGTTTGCCACAATCCTAGATACCTTGGGACGAGATTCCAGCTCTTTTTTCCTTCAAACGGGCCCGCCGCATGAAGAACCGTCCCCATATAAGGGCGTTTGTGAGCCCGGGAAGCTGCGAAATCCGTACCGGTATAAAATGTGAAGCAATGTTACTCGGATCATGGACCGCCCAGCACGATC